TCTCCCTCCCCCCACCCCAACTCCATCCCAGCCACACCGCAGTCTTCCGGTCCGCTATACACCCGTCCCCCATCCTCCTCCCGTCCGCTACTGCGGTCGGCAGGGTGTCATTACCGCTTCCTCACCGGCCGCCCGTCTGTCTCCAACACGGTCCAGCGGGGCCCACAGCGGCCCGCCCTGGGACCCAGCCGGCGACCCCGTCTCCCGGTGTATGTAAAGTGGTGGAGTGACGCCCCGTACCGTCGTCTTTACGGACGTGGCCGACGCTCCGCAGCTGGTGTTAAAAAATGGTGCCGGCGACTCAAAGGGGTCACTGCCGTGCGGGACTTGCTGCTGTCAGGTCAGTTCGATGTCGGTGGAGAGTCGGAACATTCTTTAGAGGGTTAGAGTTGAACATGGACTATTTGTGTCCAGTTGTTATATCCAGCTGTGCTCTAAATAGCCCGCAGCTTCTGAAATATTGTCATGTTTGTGCGATCGTGCCGTTCTGTCACTAACATTTATCGTGTCGTCTCCGAACAGGCTGCTCCAAGACACACAATCTTCAATTACAGTTTCTCCTCTCTATTCCGTGGAATCGAGAAGCGGAAGCCAGGCCACCACCAGCCGCACCAGCCCATCACCAACTGCACCATCAGCAGGCACTAGCTACAGCACCACCAGCCGCTGACGTCCGCTGGTCCCAGCGCCCCTACCAGCGCCGCCGCCATGCTGGGTCGCCTGCTGGTGCCGGTGGCGCTGCTGACCTTGACCTGGGGTCACGCGGGTCCCAGCAGCTACTGCCGTGATAACCAGGGCTATTTCTACCACTGCGACGACTCCAGCTGGGGATCAGGCAACTCCTGGGTGAGTAGTCCTAATACCTACGAGTGTATTCAATAACCGTTCTTTGCAATGTATTCGACAATGTAATATTTTCCCGGCTTGCGAGGAATGTATCGAAAAGTGGAGCGCATTATGGGTCATCGTTCTAACGCAAGTGACCGTTCACGTAAAATAGTGATTCGACTAGTTATGACATATAAGTTGACTCATTCTGGTTGACTAAACGTTACGGCCAACGTTCGCAAACCGGGTATGCTCGTCTTACCAATTAGCTGTCAAGCTTCTTTCACATCTCCTGGGTGTTTCTCCGAATACGGTAATTTTGTCTTCCCATCAGTGTCACTGATTTTTTTTCTCAACAATTTGTCACTGATTTGTTTCTGTTTCTGTTTCCGCAGCGTCGCTGGTATGGCGAGGGCGGCTACAGTGACCTATCCCGCAGCCTGGGCCGGGGTCAGGTCACGTTCGCCCCCTCGGGCGGTGTGCAGCTGACCTGTGACTTCTCTCAGACGGGCCGCTCCGACTGGGACGGGATGGTGACGGTGAGTTTGCTGTCGAGACTATCCGGGGTCGGAGATCGATTCATACGTGACTGTCGCCTGTTGCTGACGATGAAAGATATGAAGTTTGAAGTCTTATCTTTCTCAAAAGTTTATTTTTCGTAACTTCCTTCAAAGTCCTTGGAGCAGCAAAATAGTAGCGATAAAAAAAATAATACCTGGATCTACACCTTATTCAAAACGTGTTTTTAGAAGCTTGCTAGAGACGTTAGCAACAGTGTGGAGTAGAAGGTATAGCTGGTAACACTAAAAGGAATCAGGAAGAGGAAGAGCTAGCGCCAGCAGACTGCTTATGCGAGAACGGACGTTTCGTCCACCCAGCGGCACTTTCGATCGTCGTCAGTTCTATCGTCGTTCTATGTAACAACAATTGGTGAACATTATCGCAATCCAACTCTTCCTAATTTGCATTTGAATGCATGTTCCGGGTAACATCATGAGTTCACCGTAGGTCTTTGAACCGGGAATGTTTTACAGTGATTACAATGACAATGTAAGGCCAAGACATGCAAGCGTTTTAGTAGCACAAACAGTAAAACGCCTTGCATCAAACATTCAATTGTGTACTTGCGCCTTACTATTGAGGCCTACTAACACGATCTTTTATTGTTTTAGGGGATTCTATTAATCAATTTAACTGATACAATATAAATGTGACGTTACGGTTCATAGTAAAATGTCAGCCTAGCTTCCTTTCCGTAACAGCCTTGGAAAAAATAAACGGTTACTCACTGGATCTTACTTTAATACCTTGTTATTTTGTTCCGTATTCCTGAAATTAACTTATATCGTCCCATTTTCAGGACATTGTCTGGCGGAAGGTGGACAGAACCTTCCGCAGGACCACGGGCGGCAGGTCCTTCTTCACCGACAGCCGCTACAACGGCGGCGGGTTCTCCGACCGCGCCTCGTTCGTCAACATCGGCAGTGTCGACGCCGGCGTCGGCGACCGCTTCGACGGACGCTACGGCAGCTTCGGCGGCTACAACGGCGGCAGGTACAGTGTCTTCAACAGGCCGGGGTACTACGGATACAACACTGGCAGCGGTGGCTACTACGATAACAACTATAGCGGGCCCTATCGCGACAGAGGAGACGGGTTCTACGATGGTTTCGGCTCCTCCAGCATGGGAAGTTTCAGCGGGGGGTATGTGCGAGACGACTACCTCGGTCCCGCCAACACCGGCTTCGGTGGCCGGCCCGGTTATGATTCCGGTTACTTCAACTCTGGGTTTGGTTCGGGCTGCTCCGGCGGCGGCGGCGGCGGCGACAGCGGCTGCGGCTGCGGCGGGCGGCCCTGGTACCGCTGTCTCGATAGTCGGGTTCGGCGCAGGAGGCGACACGTCTCCACCGGGGGTCGGGCCATGTCCTGCTGGGTCACCCAGGGTCCCGGCTGGTCCACGTTAACCCTGACCCGGCCCGGCCCGGAGGACGAGGGGCTCTACATGTGTGTGGGCCGCAGCGGGGGCTCCCGAGCTGTATCGATGGAGGTGGAGCTGTCCAGGTATGTCGCCGGTGGCCGCTATCGCAGCGCACTGCTGAAAACGGAGCCCGACAGAGTGGTGGAGGAAGGGGCAGAGGGGAGAGAGGAGGGAGAGGCGGAGGCGGCGGCGAATGAGGTGGAGAAGTGAGGATAGGTCTCAGGGAGGTCGGAGGTTTTTGGGAGTGTTGTTGGTGATGGGTTGTTCTAGTGAGCTCAGAGTTTCGCTAAGCTCGCTGTTATCTGCTGAGGCAGTGACTCAAATCAAACATGTTTTGTTGGTGATTTTATTGTTGCTGTTATGAAGAGTTAACACGTACACACATATATGTTGTATAACAGTTGTGACAATCACGTGACATGCTTGGAATACAAGTAAATGCCCTGATCTGCGTGACATAGATCGTGAACTAACTAAATAATTATTAACTCCGTGCTGACTAACCTGGTGAGTGACCGACCGGTAAATTTATGGTGCGTCTACGCCCAACCCTTTTGGGTTAAGATCGTGCGCCTACATTCGTTGATTTACAATGCACGTTAAGTATGGACATTCACAAGAAAGTTACCACGCCAGAGCTATTCAAAACATATGCTAAAGTGGTGCAAAGCGTAACACAAAATCTACAAGACTACATACAAAAAACTACGTATTTGAGTTTTACTAAATGCTCTTACATGATTACAGCACAGTTCTACAATAGCGTGAATTATCATAACAACTATCACAACGACTAACGACTGGGGTGTATGAGGTAGCCTGTAACGGCCGTACATGTAAGATCAACTAAAGATCATTGCCTTCAGCGCCCTCCGTGGTAGCGAACGTGCTGTGAGTAATACATTATCAGTTATTATACCATGCATGGTAATGGAAGGCTTCGCCCTTTTCGTGTACTTAATGGCAGTGTGTGGGCTTTAAGGACGTAGGAATGCTGTTTGGTTACATGACCTTCTTGTTCTGTTCACCATTCAAGAGTAACCGATTCAGTAACTTGTACTGCGCAAACCTCACAAAACCTATCGAGTCACTTGACTCGGAGTCACTCTAGTACCGGTACCGGGTACCTGCCGGCATGTTCAGTGCCGGCCGGACGTACCGCTGGGCCCGTAGTACACCTCCATGTACACGGGTGTACGCTGTCGCGGCGTCTGTCGGCTCACCTTGGTGGCGTAACACCGGTAGACGCCGTAGTCGGCCGCCGTGGCGTTCTTGATCACCAGCGTGGTTCTGAAAACGGACGGACAGATTGCGATAGGTTAGCAAGGTAAAACGAAGGTATTTGCTGCTTCATAGTTATTGTTGGATACATTTTCCCCAATAACTCGTGATTTTTTGCAAACGTGACAGCTATCACCATCTCCAGCTCGCGGACTGGTAACCGAGGCGAACTAACTAAAAGAGACTGGGACATACAAACCTATCGAAAAAAAAAATTCTCAAGGAGCATGAACCGCAAATAACATTCAAATGCCTGCCGCAGAGGTGCATTTTAAGTATTTTACTCATTTATGCTCATCTCGATATCAAGACTCTCGAAGACTGTCTCGTCTCAGGTCTCGGGTCAATGGGCCTTATATATCTTTTCTGCACTTACTTTGGTCCGGCGATGTTGAAGCCGTAGTTGGTCGGCGTGCTGGAGACGTAGGTGTTTGGGCAGTTGAGCAGGTTCGGGTACCCCGAGACGGACGTCATCGGGTTGTTCATGTAGGCGGGACGGCCCACCTTCTGCCACACCACGTCCTGTGGAGGAGGCCAGCGTTACCAGATCGTCTCGTAGAGTCGTCAGCTTCTGCTTCGTCACGTGATACAGTCGTAATTTGACGAGTTGAATTTAAAGTGGCCCCTGCCGTGACCTTTAACCGTACCGTGAAGCGAAATCCTACGGTGTAGCAAGCCCCTACCGTAACCGTGTCGTAACTCCTACTGTGATCTAGAACGTTATCGTGACCCCTACCGTCGCCTACGACCACACCGTGACCCCAACCATGTCCTGTGACCTGTAGCCGTAACACGGCCCTTTCGTGACCTATGACCGTACCGTGACCCGTACTGTCACCCGTAACCTCACCGTGAGTACGTCCGTGGTAGGGGAGACCCCTGCCAGGCTGAAGTCACATACGAACTGCACGTTGTTCCGGCCGTCGGTGCTGATCTGACCTTGACCTAACATACTGGCCCCGCGGTAGAAGGTCCGAATGTCGGCATGTGGCGTCAGGCTGCTGAAAATAAATGCGACGGTGTGAAACGGCGTATGGGTGATAAGATATGGCTGAAGGTTTGCAATTTAGGTTTAATTTGGAAACAACTCCCGTTTTTGCTGACTTCGGGACTTAGCATTGTTGTAACCTGTTTTTGTAGGGCTATCACTCGGAGCGGACCATGGAATGGGAACAATTCTCACAAAGAAGAGATAAAATAAGTCATGAATCGGACGCGCACTTCTTCTTTATGATAGCACGGTTACACGGCCTTTTATCGGCCAAGCATGAAAAAGCAAGTGAGCAGAACGGGTGTTTTTATAAACTTTTATTATTCCGATGAATTTTAATCCACGATCTTTGTCCAGGTTTGATGTGCTACGAATTGGTTGATGAGTCACCAAACAGCAGCCTATCACGTCGCGTCAGGCGCCGGTATACTCACTGAGGTCCGGTCACGTGCGGCCGGTGGACGAACGGCCGGCCGTGCGCCCCGGGCTGCGAGTGGTGCTCATCATGGTACGTCCGCTCCTCCACGACCACCGGACGGAACCCGCCGGCGTACCGAGCACGGCCGGCGTACTCGACGTGGCCGTCGTGCCCGGACGGCGCGCCGTACCCCGTGCGGCCCTCAAAGCCGTAGTCTATGGGGATGGGTCGGGAGGGCCGGAACACGGGTATCGGCACTGCATGGAAGGGCGGAGATACGGGATGATATACAGGCGGCTGCGGGCGGTAGACGGGCGGTGCCGGGATGTAGACGGGCGGTGCGGGCCGATACACGGGCGGTTCTTGGTCGTACAGAGGTTTCGTCTGCACTCTGTAGTCGTACCGCGTGGCCGTGTGGCCGTACCCGTGCCCCCCGCCGTACTTCCTCCTCCAGTATTCTGCGCCGTACAGGCCTCCGTTGTCGTACCTCCGCGGCTGGATGGGCGTCTCCACACAGACGGTGAGCTGGTCTCCACCCCCAACACAGCGCGCCGGCCGTCGGGCGGCCGCCAGCGTCGAGAGCACAGTCAGAATGGCCACCATCGTCACCGACGGGAACATGGTGGTGCCGGTGGTGCCGGTGTCACTGCTGGTGCCGCTGGTGACGGTGGTGTTTATATGAGGCCGGCGCGCGGTGTGTGGGAGTCTCGGTACTGCGGCAAACAGGCGCCTACGTGCCCGGTATGGAGCGGCGGCATTTTTCGGCCGCGGCGCACGGCCTGTGAGAGAATGTGACCCAGTGAGGCCCCTCCCTACACCCCGCTCGGCTACCCTGTTCCCCGCTCTTCCACATTCGATACACACTCATGAGGACACGTGTGGTATTTAGAGAAAAGAACTCTTGGACCATTTTATATCTAACCGATACAAGTATCTCCTAATGCTGATAGGCGAAGCTCAGATCAGATCCTGCTTTGGACGTATAAAAGTTATTCAACGGACTACCGGGTCACGCCCGGCCTTCTACCCTCGTCCGGTGCCATTGCCAATGGGCACGTGTCACTTTCGCTTTACGCGCAAAAAGAATCAGAAACGAAAGAATCCAGTCCCGGGTCAACAGGATCCGTGTGACCGCAATCACCACAAAAAGGCGAAAACTGCCCCGTTCAAGGCTGAACGTAACCGAACGTTAAAGGGACTATCCCACCTTCTAAAATGTTGTTAAAACCAGTTAAATTGTGCCCGACTTTATAGATTGGATGACCAGGAACACGGTTCTGGCATTTATTTTTCATTAAACATCTTAGGCTTCCCATATTCCAAACACAAACTTTCAAATATGTGACGTCACAGCCCAAAATTACCTCCTTCCCCAGACCACATTACTGTCATAAAGCTGATTCTTTTTACTCTGTAGGCACCACAACAAAGTTCAGACCAAGTTTTAAGCGATTTTTTCAACGAACAAACCCATTTAAATCAGAATGACTAAACGAGGTGACGTCACACTAACGGTCGCTCCATGTTGAAGATAGGGCCTTGTACAAGGCCCATTTTCAAATGAAGGGAACGAATTTCTTCAACACCAAGAGGCCGCGGGGGTTGCAACCTAGATAGATAGTGGTTTCTGAACCTCGCCGCAAACTTGGCTATCTGAACTCAAACCCCATGTTAAAGGTGGGATAGTCCCTTTAAATGCGCAACGGCATCGGAAATGATTCGTTAAAAGGACAGTAAACAATGCACAATAATGCTATTTTGGTAATAATTTAGATGGAATTTACTATTTCCCGTATAATTAGCGTTTTATTATGAATATAAAATTGTGATACCGCATCCATGCCGCGGTTTAGCAGGTCAGCCCCGACTCCGACTCCGAAACCCTGGAATTGCTGGATTTAAACTTTCATTATGCATAATGAATCTCGTTATCTATCTAGTCCATATCACTCTTTGACAAGTGAGCTCTATACCGGAATTGAAATGAAAATTATCATTTTTCAATATCAAAGCTTATACACTCATGCAGCAGAACTAGTATATTGCAAGCGTGGTCGTAAATATAAAATTAGAGACAAAACTGCATTCCGTAACCATTGGCTGGCCTCTGTTGGTTCCGGGATATCGGGGGGGGGGGGGGGAAGGGGGTCTCTGCAGGGCAGGGTGGTTGCAGGGGCGCACCACTACCGCTGGGGGTAGGGGTGGGGTCAGAAGGGAGGGTGTATGCATAGAGGCGCACCGCCACTGCGACACACCCTGTCAGCTCTGTGAGCCCGCTCTGAACACCGCTGCAGATACCATCTCTGTGCCGTCCCAGTTCTGCCCGGACACGCTCTGTTAACCTGTCCCAGCCATCAGCCGGGGGCACCCTGCACACTCCCAGTTCTCCCCGAGCCTCCCACGCGGGGAGACGCGTCCGCCGCAGCCCCCCGGACCACGCCGGTCACCTCAGACCACCTCTGACCGGACCACCATGTTCCGGCCTCTGTTACCACTCCTAGCGCTCGTGGTGGGCTTTGTAAGCCTCCCATTAAGCGGCTCCTACTACATCGAGACCCGGTACGGCGACCGAAACTACTTCTGTCGCGATCGGTACGGTTTCGTGGGCGACTGCCGCGATGGCAAGCTGCGGCCCCGGGAGGACTACGACAACTACGGGTACCGCGAGGACCGCTACGGCAGGAAGGTCGGCCAGGGCTACTACAACATGATCGGCTCGTACGACGCCGAGATGATCTGCGACTTCGCCAGGGACGGACGGGTTCGGGATGATGTGATGGTGAGTGGGAGAAAGACAGGGAGAAGTGAGGACTGGGAAATGGGAGAAGTCGCTTATTGTTCACAGTAGTCAGTCATATTGCATCGTAATGAGTCATGCGGTATAGGTACAATTACTTAGACAATTTTAATCTGTATGTATAGCTTTCGATAAAAAATGCATTTAAAAACAACTTATTAGGTCAAAAGTATCGCGATTAATTAGCAATCTACACGTTTTAGATTTATTAGTAAGCTAAGCCCTTAGTAGTCGCTATTACCCATGCCTACATTTGGTGCAATTGTCACTCCAAGCTTGCGAAATTCTATTATGTAGACGGTGGACAAAGGGATAGTACCTAACCGTTTAAGCGGTTAAATGGTCCGCTCTCCTGTAGCACACCAGCATCAGCGGGCTGGCTCGGCCGCTGTTGCGCACAAATCGGTGGCCCAATGTCGCATGCTTTATCCTGTCAGCGAAGGCCCGTGAAATAAGGAAGGTGTTATTACATTCCACGAAGGGGCCTAAACGATTAAAAATAAACGTTTCTTGCTAAGAGGTCCTTAAAAAAACTTTTTCACTTTGTGCAGACCGCAATGCATGCGCCATCTCAGTACGTTCACTGCGCTCCCCCACAGGACATCGTCTGGTGGAAGGTGTACGACGAGGACGACGATTACCGCCGACGGGGCCGCGACTACGACTCGCCGTTCCGCCGCTACCGGATGCTGCGTCACCGGGAGCGGGGCGATCGGGACCGCCGCCGGTACTGGTTCAGCTACCGGCGCTACTACGACAGTCCGCACTACCGCCGCTCGCGGCACTACGACTACAGGCGCGGCCTAATGAGGGACGACGACTACATCAACGGCTACCGCGACTGGTACAACGACGACCACTTCCGCTCCAGCCTGCGAGTCTACACTCAGGGCGACCGGTGAGCAGCGCCTCTGGCGGTGACTAAGTCAAGTATTAGTGAGAAAATTCACGCTAGGTATACGACTGCTGCCGCACCGGCAGGCGCCTGCCCCGCTATGCAAGTGCGAATGTGTAAAGGATATGTGAGACATGGAAACGAAATCAACATTGGTTTGGCTAGTGACACCAGGGTCCCCTTATTCAAAATTCTGACCTGAGGAAGCCTTCAGACAAAAGACCTTCCCGATACGGATAGAAGTGCACCTCCTAGTTCTGACCCGCCAGGTGCCTTCCAAAAGGCGGCGGTCTCCCGTCAGACTAGGCTAGCTCAGAGTAGGCTAGGATTAGGTCAGACCCGTAAGACTAGGGCCTGGGGTCACCTGACATGGGACAGTTCTGAATACCCACAGAGAACCCCTCCCGAGAGATAATTTTATCCTGAGAGTCGACAGAGGCCGGTTCTCTGCACTGAGAAACGGGTTGTCGAGCCTCGAACGACGAACACAATTGCCGTCGGGACAGACACCTATTCTCTGACCCCGTCGTCTCCCTCTCTCTCTCTCTCTCTCTCTCTCTCTCTCTCTCTCTCTCTCTCTCTCTCTCTCTCTCTCTCTCTCTCTCTCTCTCTCTCTCTCTCTCTCTCTCTCTCTCTCTCTCTCTCTCCTCAGGTCCACGCTCTACCTGCGCGACATCCAGCCGGAGGACCTGGGTCTCTACCGCTGCCAGGGCCGCCTTCGCTCGCGGTCCCGGCGTGATCCAGACGACGACATGGTCTACATGGACATTCAGTTCTACCCGGTGGCCAACTAGACTAGAGACGCCAGAGTGGAGAGAGAAGAGCGATTAAAGCAGAACCTGCGTGTGCCTCCTGGTACCATGTCTCTGTGAATTTCAAAGGCATGGAGATTAAGACGGACAATAAGCTGGAGACTTGACGGGAATGTATCCCAGACGCCCGGGACCAGACCGGGCGATTTTCCAGCGAAGTTCGAGCGATTCTGATGCTGTCGGTGAAACAGTGCGACCGTACATACAGCTGATTGTTCTTGTTGAACAGACAAGAATCCCGCTGTGCCGATAAGTGCGGGTTTTAGTGCCTACCTAATACTTATCAGCATTTTGCGTAAAAAACATGGGTATAAATATCAATTAATGGTTTTGAAGGCAATGCTGTTTACATATTTTTTATTTGGTTGCCACGCAGTTTTGGTGACATTCAATTCACTGCAGGGAACTTAATAAAAGTGGTCGTTCTTATTGCATTGGGAAGCTATCTGTTCCGTACTTCCACTTCGAAACCTAACTCCTATAGCACAGTCAACCATCCTTTGTTTCCTTTGCAAACCAGTTTCAAGAGCGATGCAATGTAATCCCGCTCGATTTCCCATACTATTTTTCTTCTCTTTCTCGAGGCTTGGTCCGTTTCGGTTGCAGAGAATTGCAACAGTTTCATCTAGAACTCGTCCCCCTGGGCTCAATAGACTTCCGCTGACTGTGGCGAGAGTACACCTGGGACGAAAATCACCACCAATCCTGGCAGATCGTGTGTAATGCTGAAAAATGAGCCCACACCTGGCTAAATGTGAAGTTGAGGGTACGACGCAAGACGAATCGTTATGGGCATCCGGCATTTCATTCAAGCATAGCCAGCCTGACCTAGGCCGCCGACATATGACATTTCATCGGCACAATGCAAGTCAAGTGTTCCGAATACTAATTTTTGGCAATGCTGGTAATGCCGAAAAGTTCACAAAGCTTTTGCTGAAGATCCTTCTTAAGTTTGAAAAAGATCATATTTTTCGACACTTTCTGCGGCTCTGCGCTATATGTAATGCACTTGTCTTGATTTGTTCATAATCACTTACGAACTAAGATTAGGGTCGCAGATTTTGTATGGATCCGAGTTTTTTGCTCACCACTTTAAGTGAACTGATAAAAAGGGTGAATCGTGATATAGAGATTTGTCTCCTTGTCCTCACTCTGCCAAGGATGAAATGAATAACATTGGACTACCTATATCTCCTTGGAAATAAGAAACTGTCCAGCGAGTGCTAAAATAAGTCATTACAACAAACCATCTTTTAATCACCATCAGACACCATCCCCAAACTCCGCTGCCGCGCCTGAAATCCGGCCCGGTCGGGTCACGGCGTCTCCCCGGGCGTTTTCCGCTAAAAGTCGGGCGCCGACGCGATTCCGCCGGCAATTGAGGCAGAAAATGGCGGTCACCCAGCCAAGACCCATTAGCCTGCGGCACCAATTTCATGCTGCCTGGCTGGCCGGCCGAGCGGCGTGGTGGCGCCGCGGTGGCAGTGGGGACAGGGAGGGCGGCGGTGGGGGAGGGGGGGGGCTGGAGGGACGGGAGACGGTGGCAGTGGGGACAGGGATGGCGGCGGTGAGACTGGGGAGGGGGGGGCGGCTGGAGGGACGGGAGACGGCTGCAGAGATGGGGGGGGGGGACGGTGCGGGTATGTGCGAGACGGATGCATGCGGCGATACATAGGACAGGACGGTTTTAAAAGGATGAGAGGGTGACGACAGTTGGTGGAAAAAAAACGGTGGCAGAATGGGACTGCGGCAGTAGGGAAAGAGCCTGGTAATGTGGACGGATTGGCAGTGTAGACGATGGGGACAGCAGCAGTGACGGTGGAAGGGATAAATGCAATTTGTATTCCATTCGTGACTTGAGCAATAAGGAATAAGGATTTTAGTCAACCAATTTTGCTCCAGTTCTTAAACATGCGACAGATACCTCTTCCTAAAAGACCCCTTGCTGATCCTGTCTCCAGCTCAGCAGTCCATTAAAGGAAATAGTTCACTTTTTAACATGGGTTTTGAACTGGAATAGCAGTTCCGTAGCTTGGGCTGAGACGAGCATAAATCAGGAGCTTTTACAGCCCAACGATCACCCTAGGCAAAGATATTCTATTTCTCGTCCCGAAAAAGGTGTCTTGCGTTGAGGATGTGTGCCTTGCATATATTTCCATCCAGTATGAAAAGAGCATGGGTCCCGAAAATTCTTCAGAAACTAGAGCAATTATCTACGAGAACTCTAGAGAAATTCTCGTACTGATCAATTAGGATATTCAGGGGAACATTATCAGATCGAGCAGATCGCCCAAATGCCGGTGGCTGCGATAATTTCTCTGTTTCTGAAGAATTTTCGGGACCCATGCTCTTTTCATACTGGATCGCGTGTGCCTTACAGAAACTGAAAAGTTCTTCCTATATCAAAATATAGAAAATAATATTTTGTTATAAAAAGATTTTATTTTCTTTGCTGATTATTTTGAACATAAAAAATCATAAATCCGTTGCAAAAAAAATAATTTCGTGAAAGTGAACTATTTCCTTTAAATCCCATCACATGGCGACCACCACTGTCAGCGCCGCGTCTATGGGCGCACCTCTATCGGCCGGCGGCCAGCGGCACTATCGCACGAGACGCACCTACGCGTCGTTTGCGACGCACAATGGCGTCCATAATTAACGTGCACACAGTCAGCGCACATGATCCGCCGGTCCAATGGCCCTCCCGAGCGCCCACCCGATCGGCCCGCCTGATGGGCTTATCATAAGTGGCGCGGCGGTGGCGGCTTTGGACCGCTCCTTCGCCCCCCCCCCCCCTCACCGCCCGCTAATTAATCTCCGGCCGTCAGCCCCTCAGCCCCTCCCTCCCCTCCCCCCACTCGTCTCCCCTCTCGTTGATTCAGTTTCATCCCTGCCCGTATCAAACGCCGCTTACACAAATGCAAATCGGTCATCTGGCGCAAATCGGCCACCGGTGCCGGTTTACACAGCGCCTTTGTGATGATAATTCGTCCAATAGAGGGCGCCATTCAGGCCGGCGCCGCCGGCGACCCCGCCCAGTCGGCCCGGAACCGACGTTAAACAAGGCCAATAATTAAGTGTTGTTTGCCAAAGGACTCGAGGTCGGATATTTACACGGCCGTATAATGGTGGGGTAAATTAGGAGCCAGACTGAATGCTCTCCGGTGGGCCAGAGCGGTGGTCAAAAAGATAGGAAAACGGTCTTAATCAAGAGTGCAGGTTGATTTGTCCGGCACGAAAAGCTGAGTGTGACGTAATTCGCAAGTAAAACATTCAGAAAGGCGCGCAATAAATTGGTTATGGGGATAGTAGTCCTAATGTGTTCTCGGCGGCACACAACTATCACGGCTGAGGGCGGGCCGTGATAGTTACCCCGACCAGGGCCTCGGCCTGTCGGGAGCAAAATTCAAAAAAAAAGTACAGCACCCTTGTCTTGCTGTCCTCCCTCAATATCCTATGGTGTCCCCATGAAGCTGAATTTCAACGAAGACGCTTCAAACGTAATTGGTTGATAAAAAATAAATAGATAAAATATTGGGGCTATTTCGTGTTCAGTGCTAAACAATCAAACATTTCACGTTTAATTATGATGCGAAATGAAGGCTTGAAATGGAACATCTATTTCCTATAACTTTTTGTCGTGTCGAGAACCTTAAGCGCAAGTTGGGCGTATTCCTTCGAACTCCTTTTTTATACCTAGCTCGATGCGACTCTTATCTTAACTATAAAAGGTATGTACCTACCGGTTAAAGTCGTGATTCTGTTTTTCAAAAGTTTGCTTAAAAGTTAATGCCAGAAATGACTATGACTCGGTAACCACTTAAAGCCGCCTTTACGGCAATCTATTGAATGCAACAAGTCGTGAACCGTTCTAACCGACCAGCCTCACTTAGAGTGTGGTCTACCATCAGGCAGCGCACGTTTCTCCCATCTCTTTTCCCTCTATCTCCTCTCCCACGGCTCACGATCGCCCGTCCCGCCCCCAGCGACCGCCCTGGGCCGCGCGGTGGGCCGGCAGACACGGATACATCTGTTATCTATTAATCGGCAGTAATCAGTCTTTTGCGATGGATTAGGGCGCACGCCACACTCCCCGGGGGCCACTGTCGAGCAGAGCTATTAGGCGGCGCCACAATGGATGGCCGACACCGTCCAATGGGCGGCAGCCGCGGCGCGGGAATGACGATGAGCCGAACCAGGCGCGCGCACAAAGCGCCAGCTGTGCACGGCGGAGGGACGGGTGCGGGCTGGTGGGACGGATGGTGGGACTGCTGCAGGCTCCAGCAAATACCTATAGGTATCAGACGAACATATAGATATGTTCGTCTAACTGTAACTGAGACTCCTCATGTTAATCGCTTGCTAGTGAAGATCGGCGTCCAGCATTGAATATAATTTGAAGAGATAGTCATCTGGTAAGTGCGTTCTCTTTGTAATGTTCGATTTCCGGATTAGTCACCTTCATAACCTCACATAAACCACCGATAAAGCATCTATCTTATATTGACCACTGCACAGCTCCTGCCGCCCGCCGAGGCTCTGGCACGGGGTCTCTCCAGTGGCCAGGGACCAGCTCAGACGGCACAGGACGGACCGGGACGGACCTCTGCTCCACTGCCTCCCGCGGCGGTCAGCCCCCGGGGAACAGGCGCGGCACCCTGCCGTAAAGGGTCGACAGCGAGGGGGCCGACATGGGACGCGGTGGCGGCGGCGGCTCAAGACGAGGTCGCACCCGAGGAACGCCACCCACCACCGCCTCGGCGACGCCCGGAACTGGGTGTCCGGGTCCGGGCACAGGTCCGGGTCCACGGATGGGTCCGGTCGAGGGTCCCGGTCCGCGGATGGATCCAGGTCCGGGTCCGGGGCCGCGGACGGGTCCAGCCACGGCTCCGGGTCCGCGCGCTGGCCCGGGTCCGCGCACAGGTCCGGCGCTCGGCGAGGGTGGTACGGACAGGTCCGCTGTTCTGGTCAGTCGCTGGCCGGGCAGGTCCGGTGTCCTGGCCAGTCGCTGGCTGCGCCTCTGGTTGTACTGGTCCCAGCGGTGGAGGGTGGAGACGAGGTGGCGGCGCTGGCTGCCCCAGCGCGAGGCCAGGAACCGCTGGCCGGGCGGCAGGCCCAGCACCGGCGGACAGCAGCCCGGCTGAGGCTGCTCCGGTAACAGGCAGGCAAAGTAGCGACCCTTGTGGGTGCGCTGGATCCGGCCCTGTCGCTTCAGGTCCCGCAGCGCCCAACGCACCAGCCGGTTCACCTGGCAGACACATTTCACACGAAGAACTGACACGGGTGATGAGAGGTAACATCTTTCTCTCAGAAATAAGCAGACACAACAGTTTTGCGTTGGAACATTTCGATAGCGCAACACAGTTTTCTAAGAAACAGGTCAGGTCATTGTGCCTGTCGGCCTGCCGCCGGGGGCGATATCGGCCGTTACAGGCTTTTGGACATTTCATCCTTGTCATTGGTATTCAGTTTCAGTATTGAACACTGCACGTCTCGACCCTGAAAGCAGAATATTCCCTTGACGAACTCGACGTAACTTACCTCACCGGCTGTGTGGAAGACCTGAAACTTTCCGAAGCTCTCCCAGACTGTTTTGAACAGGCGAGAAAACTCTATTCCAGGCTGGTTCGGTTGCTGTTTCTTCTCGGCAACCAGAACGCCTTCGATGAATGTCTGCATCGAGAAGCAAGAATCGCGATCTGTAGTTTCCTCTCATTTCCTCAATCCAGCTTTGAGGATACGTCTGAGCCATCAGTCTCATTAACTAACGTTGTTCACGTAAAATAGCAACATAACGTCATTTTAACGTAACAAACACTGGTTAAAATTGACATGATTGCAGCATGAGAAAGTGGTCTGGAGGACCATTACACCCTTAGGCTCAAGTGCAACCGACCAATACTTGATTAAGACGGAATCCCAGAGGATTACAGCCGAAGGATTCATTCATGATTGTAAGCGATGGATTGATTGCATCAAAATTATGCAAGCCACCAGCCATTCAATTACTTTCGACTCAGAGCGGAGGCGTATTGAATAGAACCATTTTTTAGCATAATTTGTAGCTAATGCCAAGTGGCAATAACATTTGGCGATAAAACGATAAATACGATAAAACTCAGGACAAGGATGCCTTTTCATACTTGATCAAATCTATCACATTGAGCAAATTCAAGCTGATTTAATCGCCCACCTGCGAGCTAGTAGTTTCAGTTCACCCACATATACCAAGCCCTAATTTAGCTAGAGCCATAGACCTCTACATACCTCTAGGTATGTAGAGGTCTATGCTAGAGCTAACATCAGATAAGTATAATGATAAGCATACCTAGAGCAAACATTTTTAATTTGAATTTACGCATAGCCTCACCTGATACAAGTTAATAATGTTGTTGTCGGGAAGCTTTGTGAAGGTGCCCTCCGAAAGGAACGTAAAAATTCCTTTTCGTTGAGCTATCGTTGCTTTTGATCGGCTTCGCATTGGACGCCTCTGCGGCCAAAATTCTTGGACATGCTCCATTATCTTGGGATGTTTTGCACACAACAATACTTGCTGATATGCTTACAATGAGTTCACACCTAAGACGGTAAAAAACTTAAGCGATTAATTCACATTTTTATTCTTAATTTTCAATCACAACATAAGAAAAATGTAAATGCCGAAGCGTTAAAACAGAAAAGAAAAGAAATTATTAATTTTCCCGAACATTTTTATTTGATTTTCATTTCATTAGTGAAGCTCGAGATATTGCATCCCTAAACCTCTGTTATTGATGACCTCTAATCATATGACATCTTGCGCATGAGCAGAGTTGATATGTTTAACTGCTTGCCTTAAAAACACATTTTTGGAAAGGAAACCTATAATAGCTGGTGGGTTTCGTTATGACTGTTGCAATAAAAAGGTTAGGAAATTGATATTTACAAAAGACAACCATTCAGAAGACATTCATATAGATATAAATTTAAAATCTCATTTGACTATCAACATATGATAATTTGGATTATAGGTAATTAGCATCTATGATATACATAATAGGTCTACAAGTATGAATTAAAGAAATAGTTTACCAGTCTAGCAAGTTTTAAACATGCCACATTTTATTTCCTAGCTATTTTGGAATGAAAACATAAAATGCAAAGAGGTAATCGAATACATATTCCTGTAGGATTGAACAGAACGCATGCAAGCATTGCAGTGGCGCGGGAACTTCTTCCAGACTGGGGGGGGGGGCTGAACCATCATAGAGATCAACCTAGGGTACCCCCAAATCTAGTTTTCTCATCGGTTTTAGGCCACTTATTTTTCAGACCTTGGCCTTTTCAATGGAAAAAAAGAAGAAAATATTTGCAAAAAAAGTGAGGTATTCCGTCTCAGCTGAGTGAAGAAACTACCGTTTTGGCGACCTGGAATAAAGGTTTTAAGCTGCCAAATGAGTTGCCGAGTCAGTAAAATAGGTAGATTTTTCACTCACATGCTTTCTTCCTTTGTGACTCACAACCCCTAATTTGGGGAGGACAAGGTGCCCCAACGGTTCCTGGCCTCATGAAAAGTTGTGAGGCACCGCCCCCACGGCCCCAGAGTTGTGAGGGCAAGCTTCCCCCACTACCCTCTCCCCCGGTTCCCGCGCCTATGTATGAATCTATGAAATTGTGTTGGTAGATTTCCGATTTCGATTCCTCCAGCTGGGGGGGCTCAAATACATTACGAGCCCCCCCAGCCGAAAAGTTGGAGGGGCTCAGCCCCCCCTAGCCCCCCCCCCCGGTTCCCGCGCCACTGAAGCATTGTGTGTTGTTTTGCAAGTTTATCGAGACAAAAGCATTCCTTTGGTGGTGGTTGCAGTCGTTCATTTGCCAATACCCGAGGACAGGCACAAGCATTTTTCTGAAACTTCTCATCCTACCAAATCACTGGCACCATCTCAGCCTGGGCTGGCTGGTTGGTAATGGCGGCACATCAGCACGGGCGGCTCCGGAGCAATCTGCCACCCTCTCAAGGCTCTCCATTTAACCCGGGGCGGCCGTCGGGCCGGTGTTAGGGCGGCCATCAGCACCCATCGCGCCGCCGCGCCGCGCCGCCCGCTCCCAGCTCGCACCTCACAGGCGCCCCGGGCAGCCGAACCAACTCTCATATCACACCAATAAATATTTATACCCGCTATGATACACCGTTAAAGCAACTGCAAACTCTCTGCGATTTGAGATTTTCCCGGGTTTTTAAATTATTGCAAGTAATGGTGTCGGCTGAGATCGGCATCGGCTCCATTTGCCGCCATATTAGATTGGCGCCGGTCGTTGGCCGAAGCACTCCCTGGCGAGCGCTCCGGCGCGCCGCTCGCCCGCAAAGCCCATGCATTTCTGATTACCTGCTTTACAATCCATTTAGTTTAAACGAACTCAGAGATGTCAATTAAATATTAACGCTATTTGTCCGTCGCCGCCGGCGGAAAATTAGATTTGGCAAACAGCTTCAGAGAATTAAGACTAATTGAGCGAGCGAAAAAAGGCAAACCGTAATGTGAGCTGGCTGTTTCTTGGCATTTTGTTCGTGCGTGTTGAAGAGTTGCTTCATTTGTTCATTTGTCTTTGCAAAGGATGATGACACAATCATGGTAGATATCACTTGAAACGAATTAAAAGGGCACGATTATATTTAGGTGTTCGATATTGAAATCACCGGCGGGATTCACATTTAAAGACGACGCGAAAGACGAAATCAAAGACGAGTTGCGCGTTTTGCAAAATTAAGAACCAACGTGATTACAAAGGTCTCGACAATATATCATGCAAACTCTCACCAATTATGACTTCCAGACAGATTGATGCTTTTTATTAGTTATGCTGATCAATCATCGCTTGGTTAATGTCATATAACAGGATGTGACGCCCTTGCACGTAATGGTATCATCACAAATTCTCGTCTGATTTGGATCAGACCACCATCGTTGAAGACATCTCATTTCCGCAGAGTTCCGGTGACGTCATATAAATCACCGGTGGTGACGTCACGCTCATCAGAGCCGTGTTGTCCTTTCATTTCTGCAGCTGATTGCAATTATGCGCGGCTAATTGACACGATCTAGCAAACTGGGGAGACAAATCATATCCGTCCGACGTCTGCTCTGCGTAGTCGCGTGAAGATAGCAGCAAACGTCAACATAGCGGACTTGATATGCACGGGCGGCACAAAGTTGAGGAGCCTCAGAACCTGACAGGGTACAAAGCAGAGGATTTATATGTACATACATAATAGAAATGAATCGATGCTGCCCGTCTTATCTTATGGGTGGAACAGGCAAACCACCGTATTGCAGAATGCATTGAATGTGCTTGATATATATTTAATGCTAGAATATGCCTATAAAGATCATTAAGGATCAGCAGTCATACAGGATATCCTATGACAATCACAATTCGGAACGCGTCCCTGCCCCGTTATCCGTGTATCGAGCACTGCCTCCTCGTTCGCTTAGCGGTCATCTTGGCTGTCCTTGCTGTCTTGGTCAGCCCCAGTCAGCCATCCTGCTATTTCAATTACGTTTTTGCTCTGGCCGCGTTTAGAGAGCCAACAGCGCGTGCGCAGTCTTCCGGCCGATAGATCCATCATGTCACTAATTATACCCGCCTTTAGCAATTACCGTCGGCGGGCTGGGCGGCCGCCGTGGCCGGTCGGGACAGAGAAACTGCCGCTCGTCCGCGCGCCGACCGCCGCCGGGCCGCTCGTGAATCTGTCGACCGCCGCCAATGAGCCGACCCTCTGTTTGTCCAGGCGATCGTGCGAAAACAGTTCAAACCGCGGGGCGCGTCCGCCCGGGCTGGGGTGACCCCGGGCTGCTTAGCGGCACGCTGTGGCGCGTGCGGCCAAGCCGGGGTGGTGTGGCGGCGCTGAAAGGATGGAGCGTCGGGAAAACACGGCTGGTCATGAGCTGCGCGCGGGTCTGGAGAACTCGTGAGCCGGCTCGGGTGACGACGTGGTGCGCCCTCCGCCACCGCGCCGCCCCAGCTGCGCGCAGTCCATCCTTCGGCGGCGGCGGCGGCGGCGATGGCGGCGCCGGTGCCGAGGTTATTGGCGTGAGGACGATGGATGACGACGCCATCAGCGGGGTCGGTGATGGCCGTGATCGGTTAGTGGCAGAACTGTCAGCGCGCCGCTTCACTGATCGACCCAATTGCTCCCGTGACTTACCGGCCGCTTTCCTAGCAGTCTTAATGAGTTTTGTATGGGCCGCTGGGTATTCAAGGGAATGGAAGTGGGATATGTGTGTGGCTCAGGCGCAAATATACTGCGAACGACTGCTTCGCATCTGGGATCGGTTGGTCGGTAAGGATCAAAGTTGCGTTGGCCAATGCATCTTACAGATTTGGACGAGTGTGCCATTTTTGTGTCTTTTTTAATGTGTACAGCCCTCTGCAAACTGCGTGGTAGGTATTCTTTTTTCGACAAAAACGAGAATAATGCGAATACTATGCTATGGGTCATTCGCAAATCGTAACAGGAAGACACGCGAGACTCCGCACCTTAGATTGGCATCATCACCGTATTCATTTTCCTTCTAGCTCGGCAACAAAATCCAAAAGTTTATATTTGCCCCCAAAACAAACTTTTGCATTTTGTTGCCACAACAGGCGTACACTTTGTTTAGTGATACATCTAATCGAAGGAGTGGAGCATGGCGCATCTATTTGCAGTGAGTTCTGACCGACTGATAGCATAGCCTCTGAGTTATTATCGGTTTTGTCGAAAAAAAGAATACCTACCACGCAGTCTGCTGAGGGCTGTACATATTCACACAAGAGGATAAATGTTGCGCCAGCCACTGTGACAAGCGCAGAAACGAAAACTTTCCCTTTCTTCTAAGCATTCTCCCGTAATAATGTCTGGATCATTGGTAGGTATCCGACGATTTTACTTGCTGACGCATTTAGTGACGAAAGTAAAATGCACGCAAATTAAAGGTCGCAAAAAATATAAATCCTGTATAATCTTTGTCAAATTTAGTTCGTGCTCAGGTAGCCCTGAATTCTCCTCGCTGCCTCGTCATCAAGTCGTTCTTATTTAAAGGGACTATCCCACCTTCTAAAATGTTGTTAAAACCAGTTAAATTGTGCCCGACTTTATGGATTGGATGACCAGGAACATGGTTCTGGCATTTATTTTTCATTAAACATCTTAGGCTTCCCATATTCCAAACACAAACTTTCAAATATGTGACGTCACAGCCCAAAATTACCTCCTTCCCCAGGCCACATTACTGTCATAAAGCTGATTCTTTTTACTCTGTAGGCACCACAACAAAGTTCAGACCAAGTTTTAAGCGATTTTTCAACGAACAAACCCATTTAAATCAGAATGACTAAACGAGGTGACGTCACACTAACGGTCGCTCCATGTTGAAGATAGGGCCTTGTACAAGGCCCATTTTCAAATGAAGGGAACGAATTTCTTCAACACCAAGAGGCCGCGGGGGTTGCAACCTAGATAGATAGTGGTTTCTGAACCTCGCCGCAAACTTGGCTATCTCAACTCAAACCCCATGTTAAAGGTGGGATAGTCCCTTTAAGGCAAGTCGAGCGTAAAACTGGGCGAGGATTTAGAGCGGGCATTTGTTGCTGTGTCTGTCACCCGGCTGAAACAAAGCCGCCAGAGTCCGGCCGCCTCAGCCGACTAATTACCCCGCGGTCCCGGCGGCTCAAAGCGGAGCCACCTCGCGCGCTGCCAGCGACAGCCGGCGCCGTGGGTGG